GAAATAAAAACCCATGATAAACCCTTGGTTGATGAATAGGGGGAAGGCCTCGACCCAATGTCAAGGTCACTGACTCCCAGGGCTTTTTTGCGTGATGACCCCTGGTTCATCACGCCCTTGCTCATTGGGATCCCCCCAGAGGGAAAGCATCCAACCACTAAATAAGGAGCCCCCCTGATTGAGTACTGGAGGGTTTAACAGATTATCAATCAGGCTTCAACATGAAGCGGAACCTCCAGATCCCAAGGTTACGTTGGGAACGTCATGTTGTAAGGAATCCAGTGTATCGCTTGCTTTGGGACCTTTTGAGAGGCTTGGCAGAAGCTTAGGCCGAACCCGTTTTTGCTCTTTTTTTTTAGTGAGGGCCGATGACATGTTGTACGCATGGTATTGAGTGTGCATTTGGCTAGAGCTATTTTTGCCCTCCATAGCCAACACATTTACTACAAAATGACAATGATGTGTCACGTCCATGAAAGAGCATCCATCAAATTCCCAACCTCACGCCACATCGTTTGTTCTGACCATTTGCTGATGTTTGCAAAAGGTTCATTCATTCCGAGAGAGCCCTTTTTACAACACATTGCTAGCCTCAGCCATATTGTGGACACTCTTGCCAATCCATTTACACTGTTTACTGCTACAGGATGGCCGCTCCAACTTGACCCCTGAAATCCAATTGGGATCCCAATGAAGTTTTATGCCCAGGCATCGCACAAACCCAAGCTGCTTCTCTCAGGAATGGAGGCAGTAGCCGCAGCACACGCGAGCGCGTGAGCAGCGACGAGGTTCAGAAGATCCAGAAGGAGACCTTCGTGCCGTGGCTGCGCTGTTGGGGTTGAGCTCAAATGTGCTGCCACAATTTGCTTAAGGCAATTGCGTCTCTCTTGATGGGGCATTCGCCATTGTTACTGGCATGGTTCTCCTTCTTATGGTGGGGGGTTGTGGATGTCTGTGCGTTCGTGGCGCCTTAAGCTAGTGCAAGATTCAGGGTGTCATGGCAAGAGATGGGAGGCAAGCGGCAGGCGCCAGGATGCTATACCTGCTGGAAAAACAGGCGTCCCGGCTAGGAAGGGAAAAGGCTGAGCAATTCCACATAACAGGCATCTCGCAGTGCATTGAGGCAGCCAAGAAGCCTAATTCCTCAGATGGACAGCTGGATACGCTGCGACCAGGCTTCGCACACGTCCCTCCACATCTCTACAAACAACGAGGTTTGCGTCAGCCGCCATTTTTTATTTTTATTTTAAATAAAGGCCACTTGCCGGCCTTCATTGACTGTTTGGCCAAGAACAAACCCGTTGATGGGCAGATTTTGAGTTGAGGTACTGTATTTGCATGCGCCACCCCAGCAATTATCCACCAGCGCTATTGCAATGTCCCCACCCCGAAGCCGGTGGTCGGGGCAGACAATGTTTCTTCTACAGTGCTGGTAGGGGCTGATGGTCTCATTCTGTTGAATCATTGTTCGTTCCGCACAAACTCCAAAGGGCATGGAAGCTCTTTACGCAAGCCATGATTTGAATACTGACACAAATGAGTCCTCCGTTGGCGCGTTTCTGGTACTGGCCAGTGCTGGCGATGTGTCCTCAAAACGATGCAGAGCATACAGGGACAGGGCGGCCCAAATTTAGTTCCCTGATGTTGAAGTGGTCAACTCCGTCCGAAGTGAAAGCAACAAGAAGGCAGCAGTGACCTCCCGGCCGGCCAAGCGACCCACCAAAACCTATCAGCCCCTCCAAAACCCAGCAGCCAACCAGCTCATAAGCCATTAGCCACCCACCCCACCAGCCCATTCCTCTCAACTCCCCGAAAAAGAAAGAATGGCCCCTATAAACCATGACCTACGGTTTCCTCCAAGGGCCTCACCAGGTTCATTCCATTTCTCATTCCCAGCCTATGGCACCAAAAAGCAAATGGGATGGGAGGTGGGTGAGCCACGGCTGCGGACCTGGAGCGCTTCCCGGCTGAAGCAGGAGCTCCAGTTCCTCCAACGCCAGGCGGCGCCTCGGCTGAAAAGGAGCAGCGCTCAGGTTTTCCGGGGAAACCAAAAGGAATTGTAAGACACGTGTCTTCTTTTTTTCGCGAAACATGAAACATAATCGGAAAGTCTTCCTTTCTGTGTTCCGCAGACGGCCAAGGCAAAGGCGCCTGAGGGTCCACATAGCTGACCCTGTATGAAATACACAAAATGCCTTGCCCGCCACTCAGGTTGCATTGTTTGTGCACAATGCCGGTCCCAGAACTAGCCCCAATCCATTCCTTCTGGTTAGGAGAATGAGGCTGCTTTCCTAGGGTTTTGAGTGAGGTCTTGTTTTGGTTCTGCTTAAGGTTTAAAGTCAAGGTTTTAGGGTTTGGGTTCAGGGTTTTTTAGCGTTCAAGTTTTGGGTTTTGGGTTTACGTTTAGGGTTTAGGGGGGTTAAGTTCGAGGTTTAGTTTTTTTAGGGACCAGGTTTGGCTTAGCTTTTTAGGGGTTCTAGGGCTTCAAATCAAGGTATTTAGGGTTTAGTTTCAGGATTTGTTCGTTTAGTGTTTGTTTGTTTTTTTGGGGGGGGGGGCGGGGGGTTAAGTTCGATATTTTAGGTTTTAGGTTTCACAACTTCTTCATTTTTTTTGTTTAGGTTTAGTATTGTTGAGGTTATTGAGGTTTAGGTTAAGTTTCAGATTAGCGTTTTCAGGTTGTAGAGTTTCAGGTTTTGGGTGAAACGCGCTGAAGTCGGGACCGTTGTCAGAGCTTAGCCCTCGAGCACCCCACTCCGCAGCAAGGTGCGCTTTCGGCTAAGCCATGCCGGGCGCGTTGAAACAGATCACACGGATTGGTTTCATTATGATTTCTGTTTGGCCTGCCGCACCCCCCAAAAAAAACAAAAAACTGAAGAGCAGAAGCCCAAAAGCTTTGTTTGTTGCTCTTCTCGTGTTGCCAACATAGTTTTTCCAAAACAAAAGGCACCCAAGTCTCGCCTGATTTTTTTCTGTGCGCTTACTGATTTCGCGCTCCAACTTAGGAGATGCGCTTGGGCTTTGCAGGTGGCAGCGAAACCAGGGAGCCATGGCTGCACATGCTCATGGCTGTTTACACCAGGGGTACTGCACATGTTTTTTTATGTAGATCATGCAGCTTATGATTACTTGTCTAGTGTGCGTGTGTGTCTTCAGCGTTGCTTTGACGGAGTCCTTTCCGTTCGCCATGTTTTGCGGCAGGTCCACGTTTGGTTGATGTTAGATGATGTTAGCTCTTTTGGAGCACCAAAGCCGTCAAGAGGGGATCTTTGCGTATCCCAATACCCTTCACTGGCTAGTCTTTGAATCTTTGGTACGTTGAATGCCCTAACAGCCATCAGGGAGTCGCCCTTGTTCACTGGCTGGCTCCTGGGTCGGGCAGCCTGAAGTGGGGAAGCTTCTCTCCTTCCTTGTCTTTGGGCTCCTGCTGTGAAAGTTGGGAGTACTCACAGCCTCTTACTCTGTCGAGGTCCTTTTCCCATGCCTCCTGGGAACTCTTGTACTCCTGCTGGAACCTGCCTTCCATTTGACACACAAAAGTCCCCCCAATCTTCGTGGACTTTGAGGTCTTGCTGGCCCTGCGTTTGGCTTTCTGTGCCTTGGAAAGCGTGCGGGCGTTTCTGCGTATGCCAGCTGCTAACATGTGCGCCCCTGCATGGCACTCGGGCCCCCCAGGAGAATCAAACCGGATTCAATGGCTACCGCGTGAGTTAATTTCTCTGCACGTGGGGCTTGCGCATCACCCAAACAGTGTTGCTGTAACTCCCGGTTTACATCTTTTAACTCAATCAATCCCTCCCCTCAATGTCCCAAAGCCGGGGGACGAGCGGTCACAAATCCCAGTTGTTGCGTAGAAGTTTTGACTTTTGACCGCCGAGAGGAGATGCAACACCTCATCAGATCCGGCGCCGTCGTGGAGAAGTCCGAGCTTGTCCATGCGGTGCTGAAAGCCCGAGGAGGCGTGGGATCGGTTGCCACGAAGCGCGGTGGTGGTGGGGAATGGTTTGATCTTGTCATGGCCGCAAATCAAATTTAGCACTGTCTTCTTTTCAAGGCACCCTGAAGTAGTGGTTGGCAGGTTGGGGGTGCATTCCCATCGTTTGTTTTCAAGTACTGTGTGCTGAAGATTTCACCAAACCAGCGATTAACCAGTGATTAGTCTGGAGCGATCATCCAAACCTCCGATCGTGATCTCTTGTTGAGCCAGATGCCGGGATTCATGCTGCAGACGGGAACGCGGGATGCTTTGGATCTCCAACCTGGCAACTATAGTCCTCCTTGGAGAGCAGAGCAGATGTCCGACTTTGTTTGTTTCATGTTTGCCAGCCATGGCCAGGTTAAATGTTCTTCGAGCCATGTGTTGAGCAGATTTGCTGCTATGAGCGGAGTGCCATTTTTTGTTTTTGTTTTTTCCTTTCCGCTTGTAGCCCACTTTAGAGGAAAGCCCGGCCCCAGTTGACGTGTTGTGTAATTTCAACATGTTGGCACCGGCTTGCCACTTCACGTTTCTGAGGTGGATAAGGCCAGCTAGTCAGAAGCGTTGATCTAAATAGGGTGGGAGCCGCAACACAAACAACAACAGTATTTGGCAGCACATCTTTCCGACAAGCTGCAGAGTGCCTTTCATGATGTAAGCAGCTCTGCTTGCTGCAGGTGTTTGCTTCAGCTCGTGCCTATGCCACGACCACCTTCATGACGTGTAGAAGTCTAGCATTGGCGGGAAACAACGGGCAGGTGTGGGCAAGGAGGCACTGGGAATAACCCTAGAATTGAGCCAATTTGTCAGTATTGCGCCACTTCCCCCCGGTCCCTCACCCGCAGGCTTGACTCAAGAATCATGGTTCATGCGCTAATTCTGGAAGCGCAAGCACACCTCTGCATTTCAAGCACTCAGCATGACGCACCCACGAACAGGTGACCACATGTCGTAGCCCTCAGAAGGTTTCTTTGGGCTGCTTGCATCGCATATGCTCGTCACGTCCAAGCACAGCCCTCTCGCCATGCTGCGCGCGGCGTGGCGCTGTCGATGTCCCGGGCGCAGCTTCTCCTCCGCGCGCCAGGTGTGGCGCTGGGGCGGGGAGTCGGCGCCGGCGGCCGTGGCGGCGCCGGGGGCCAGCGCGGTGGCCTGCGGCGGGGGGCACTCGGCCTTTGTGGCGCAGGGCCGGCTGCAGAGCTTCGGGGCCAACAACTGCGGCCAGCTCGGCCGCAGCGGGGAAGACGCCCAGCCAGGCCCAGTGGAGCTGGTGGCCCCAGATGGGCACAGACCCCCGGTGCAGCTGGTGGCGCTGGGGGCGCGGCATTCCGCAGCCATCACGGAGGGCGGCATCCTGTGGACCTGGGGCTACGGCGGCAGCTTTTGGTATGGCGCTGGGGGACTGGGTCTAGGAAAGAGGTCAGAGGTGAGCAGCCCGGAGATGGTCATGAGCTTTGTGAACCAAGGGGTTGAGGTGGCGCAGGTGGCTTGTGGCGGCCTGCACACCTTGGTTCTAGATCAGGATGGGAAAGTGCACAGTACGGGCCAAGGAGGGTTTGGCCGTCTTGGCCGCGGTGGTGTGGCCTCCCGAGGGGACGAGTACGATTTTCATGAAATTGTCTTTTTCAGCAAGACCACAGACTCAATCATGAATCCGGGTGAAGAGCCCGCAATCGTCAAGGTAGACGCGGGCCGGGAATTTTCCGCCGCCATGTCATTGCATGGCGAGCTCTGGGTGTGGGGTCGCAATGATTACGGCCAGCTTGGCATGGGCTTCGAGGTGATGAAAGATCGGAACTTTTGCATGCAGTACCCATTCCTCATGAGAACCTTGCCCATGGAGGGCCATGTGATCCGCGACTTTGCCTGCGGCGAGACGCACATGGTGATGGTCACAACTGCGGGTGCCATTTACGAGTGGGGCAATCGCCAGTACTTCGAGCCCACTGCAATCACGCTGCCAAGCCGGTACCAAGAGGGGATTAAAGGGGTTTGGAAGGTCGCTGCTGGTGAGAACTGTTCCTTTGCCCTGACGCAGGATGGCGAGCTGTACAGCTGGGGTCGGAGATCCACTGGCTGCCTGGCCTCGGGTATAGGCGACGAAGAGGTGCGAAGGCCCACGCTCGTGCCTCCGGAGACCTTTGGCAACCAGCGCGTGCTAGACATTGCTGTTGGCAAGCAGTGCTGCCTTGCGATCACCGAGCCTTGAAGGAATAGATGCATCGAAGTAGGCATAGGCAACTTGACGCGCGCCATGCATTGAAAGAGATGCATGTTTCCAGTGGCGTGTATTCAGTGCCGCTGTAGCCTTGGCTTCCGGCAATGACCCAAAGCCGAAAGGTGCCCACAGGCGAAGCGAGCGAAGTGCTAGCAATGAAAGACCCAAGTCACAAGAAAAGTCGCGGAGCTGCTGAATGGCCCATGCGTGCGCTGTCAGACACGTACAAAGGATGCAGACAAGACTCGAGTTGACGGAGTCCATTTCAGCCCTGAATTATAGCCGCACCCTGAACAAGTTGTGGCAACCAATGAACAGCATCCCATCAATGGCTGGACCAGACAGAGGCCAAATGCATTTAAACAAATTATCACAGCCACTTTGCAGAACAGCGTCTGCCATGTTCACGAGTTTGTCATCGTTGTTGAAGATAACATGTTGTTTCAGTCCTGATGTGCTGCCAAACAGGAGGGATAGGATCCCTTTGGTCAGAAGCTTTTTTCAGAACTTCAGCCCCAAGCCTGGCGGATTGATATGGGTGCAACCCGCAAAATCCACAGAAATGTGCTGCGAGCCCCAAACAAAATACACACACACAGACACACACGCTTGTTTTGGTTTGTGCCGTTCTGTTGAGGCTGGGAGGTTGTTTGCATGGGCCCGCCCTCTCCTTACCTCGTCGGGCACCAGCGTCCGGTCCAGGCGACTCCGGCATCAGCTGCGCCGCACTGCGGCCGAGTGGGGCAGGGGCTTTGAGCTCGATGTGGGGAGAGTTGGGACCGTTTTTGGGGGTTTGATGAGGACCAAGAGGAACAACTCGGGTTTGTGTTGGCTCATTGACTCATTGGCTAGCTGGCTGCTTCGACGCATGCTTGGCTCCTGTAGTTTACCTCAGGTGTATGCCAAGTACAAGACCCTTCATCATGGTGAGCGTGTTTCACCCCCAGGTGAGCTTGCCATAAATGCGCGCTTGTTTGGGGCTTACCCACGCCCTTGAACAATCGAAGAAGATCAATCAAGGCAGCGGCCGCTCCTTTGGACGCCCCTTCTGTAACCTGCTGGGGTCAACATTTCTGCAGTCCCTGCCGATTTAACTCACGCATTGGCATTCGTCCCTCGGTTGAGGATGACGTTGGGGAAGCTTGTGTGGATTTTTGTTGAGGTTTTGGAATTGTAGACGGTGCATTGTTGGCTGAGTTCGCTGCACCCTAAGCAGGCGACACCAAAACTTGAGGACAGGAGCCGAGTTCGCCGATTTGATCCCAGGTATGCTTAGCCAACTACACAGATGGAGCCGATCTCAGCTGCCAATCACCTGCCAGCATGGTGCATAGAGTAGCTTACAATCGAACCGCAGTGTTTGTAGAAGTTCGTGCTCAGGGGTGGTGAGTAATGGTGGCAAGCTTCACTTGATCCGTATTGAAGACGGGAAACGGACACTCCCTTTTGGAGCTTTCAAAAGGAAACCCAGTAACCGCGCGACAAAGGAGAGGTGCCGTATGTAAAGACATGCTCGATTTAGGGAAACGGGTCGGTGCGCATCGAATGGATGGCCCAGTTCAGGGGCACCAGAAACCACCTTGACTTCGCGGCGGGGTTAGGGCCCCTTCGCCTGGGGCCGGGGGGGGGGGGGGGGGCGGGTCTCCTTCAAAAACAAGAACCCCCATAAACAACATAAAGAGGGCGCCCCGATCCCATGGCCACTGGGCTGAGGCGAGCAGTTGCGGGTCCTCCGCTGCGGGCATCGCTTCCACTGCGACTGCGTGGACCAATGGCTCACACAGCAAACTCGTCCAAATGGCACTTGCTTGTTTGAGTTGGGTTTGTTTTGTTTGCTTGCTTGCTTGTGTTTGAATTGAGGCATTTGTTTAACAGGTTTCCGATTTTTGTTGTTAAACATGTGTGTGTGTGTCGCTTCTGATGGTACGCTTTTGTCGCTAACGTCAGCCAGTGAACTAGTTTCACTTGTTTTTTGGTTTTCCTGAAATCAGCCAATCAAGCCAGGGAGTGATCATTTCCACCCCTTTGCACTGGGCACGTAAGGCAAAGCAGGACCTGCCCACTGTGCAGCAAGCGCGTGTGAGCAAAAACATGCTCTGCGCTCGTGCGCCGCGTCGCCCGTCAGTCACTCGCCCTCGGCCGTTTCGAGGGACAATTCCTTGCAAATCCTTGCAATGTCTTCCAATCACTTTTCCCCCGTATCCTTCAGCAACTCTGTGGCGGGGGGGTTGCGTTTCCCCAATCAGAGGGGCTTCAAGCGGCATTCACATTTTGTGATTTTTGTGTTTCTGGGGTTCCAGGTTATTTGCTTAGAGGGGGTACTGCCCAAGTGGGATTTTAGCAAGGTCTATACACGCCTTTTGAATCCATTTTAGTAGAAGAAGGTGACAGCTGTTTCAATGCACAGGCAAAGCATACCAGATAGTTGCTTCAACTCGTGCACAGCAGCCAGGCCCTTGGCCCCCAGGCATAGAAACCTCGAACTCTTGACCGAGTACTTGTTTCCATTGGCCATATGTATTGCATATAGCTATATACATATGTACACATATGCATATATATATATATATATACATATATACATACGTATAGATATGTGTGTGTACCATGTACATGTATGTGAGTGGGTGTGTGCATGCCTGTCTTGATTGTAAGGAGCCAGAAATGCGGTTGAGGAGTCCAGAGTCCAGGAACGCTGAAGTGTGATTCCCGGGGTCACCAAATGCGGAGTTTTCTGACAGCGGCACAAGATGGACGACTTGGACGATTCAGGTCGCATGACCTCAGCTGGATGATCGTCGGCCCTTTTGGCGCTGAGGCATGTACTCTGGAGAGGACAACCATGCGGAGCTGGAGGTGCGACGGACCAATGCCTCCCTGAAAAATTCCCCCCCCCTATCCCATCGCTGACCTCCTGGGACGAGCGAAGGATGATGGAGAGATATATCCCATATTCCAAAATCGACTCAGTCCGCTTGCAGTTTCCAAACTCTACCTGCAGAATGGCATAAACGCAAGGGGCCCAATAGTGTCCAACCCCAAACGGCAAGAAACCGTGCCTTTGCTCGATGCTCCTTGCGTCTTTGCCAGGCGCCTTCAAAGCTGAAGCCTCAGTTTACTGTGGCTACTTGCGGCCATGCTCAAGCAAGATTCACGAACATGGAAACCCGAAAGGTTGGGGCCAGAAACGGAGCTTCCACAAAAACACAGCGCCTTTATGTCTGCAGTAGTCGGAGTGCTAGGAGGCGGTTCCGATTGGCAGCAAGTCCTGATGTCCTTGACATACTGGCTGCTGATACAGGAACATGTTTCATGATTTTACTGCTTCCCCGAGCGTGGCTGGTTAGACATCCATGCCTAGGTCTGCGGACGAAGGCGTGGGCGGAGTTGCGTTTGTCAAGTGGCGGGAGGTTCATGATTGCAGATGGCGACGAGTTCAGCAACAGCTCAATTTGTGTATGCCTGGGTTGCCACTTTCATTTACCAATGCGCACAGAGTGTTGCTCAAAAGAGCGAGGGTTAAACCAGCAAGCCAACCTACAGAAAGTGTTAGTCTTCTTGGATCCCTGACTTCTTGCTTTCACTATTTTGAGGGGGCCATGCGTGACTTGATGCCAAGTGACTCGCTTGCCCCACACGCATTCCTGTACCCTATTTGGCTTTGCCAGAGCTACGCGACTGGACCCATTTCAGGGTCTTGGAGCGCGAATTCTACATGTGAACCACCGATTTGCCGAAGCCATACTGTCCTCCAATTGCTTCAGCTGGTTTCAAGGCTCTCCAGCATGTCGCGTTCAGAGCTCCGCGTTTGCAAGTGATGCGGTGCATTGCCGCCCTGCAATTTTGGCTCAGAGGCCAAATAGCAGCCGCGGCACCTGCTATTTGTGCAGACAGTGCATTTCCGAGGCTGGCCACCTTCTTCAGCATAAGTGACAAAACCCGCTGGGTATGATGTTGTCTTGCTCTCACCGACTAGCTTTTTTGAACAAGGGTAGGAAAATGCTTCCAAGCATCCAGAGCTTCCAAGTGCATATGCCGAGTACCGATTTTGCGGCTGTGTTCAATTTGACAAATGTTCAACTGTACACCTCAGACGGGTGCTGAACGGCAAACCACTAGCCGGCAGGCAGCCTTACCGCGAAAAGCACATCAAGCAAAGATTGCCTCGCCAGAAGCAGCTTTGGGGTAACACACGCCGCGTGGAGCTTTAGGAAGCAACTGCCATGTGAATGGCAGACGAAGTCATGGTGGTTGAAGTGCGCAACCTTGCTGGCCGTCAGGCTTCGGAGAGGGGACGGAAGTGCATTTGGTTTCCATGCCAGGGCCCATGGCGCTGGCATACAGGTCCTCCACCTGTGGGTTGGCGGTGACCTTTGTGGTCATAGAAATCGTTGATGTTTTGCTGAATCGCAGTTTGGCAGAGAAGCTGCGTCCGAATGCATTTCTGGCCTGGACATGGCTTTCGGCTCCTGTGCCTTTTTTGATTCCCATTGTCATTCTATTGGCTATAAGCAGGTTTAGATTTTCCCGTAAATGGCCGTGGCTTTGGCAGACCGGCTGAGTAGGTTTGTTGGGTCAGTGGGACGCTTATCCAATTTGCCGGTCTGAAGCATGCACTACGCTTCCATCATTTTGGCGGTTTCTCGGGCGATTTCTTGGGTACCTTTGCTTATCACTCGGGTGTGTCGGAGACTCTTCATGATAAACAAAGAGGCCAGTAATTTCGGAGTTTGAGAAGAAGGGGGGTTGGGTCCCCATTCTGTGATACAAGGAAACCTCCCCTGGAGCTGAAGAATTGGCTGATTCCAACTCCCGGGATTGATTGATACACCCCGCGGATTTCTACAAGAGGGTGTTCCCTCTCGTGCAAAGAGGGCAATCCTCAAAATAAGATCAACCAAGGCCTTATCCCAAAACTTCTTGATGGTAAAGTACCCCCCGCTTCAGATTAGCATTGTTCCGTGTTAAGTTCGCGGGAGGGGACCTGTAAAACTCGCGACATCCGCCGCGAGGTTGGGGTTGCCACTTTGCCTTGGGAAGCGCCGGTGCGCGCCCTGCGGGACCAGATCAAGAGCTGGCAGAGGCGCATTGCGGAGGCGCGTAGGTGTCTGGTAGGGGGTCTTGGCCGCCTGCTTGGCAGCTTCGCAAGCAAATTATAACCTTTGGTGCATTTTGCTTGGATGTTAGGACTTGAACTTTTTGCCACTATGATGGGTTTTCCATGAAACCACTAACAGTTAAACTTTTAGCAGGGGATCATAAAGTAACCGAGTAACGAGCTCATTTGGGGGTGGCGGGGGGTAAGACGACCGAACTTGCCCAGAAATTCCCCCCTCAAAGGAGTGGTGAGTTCGGCATGTGGTCGGAAAGGTTATCCTCGGTCCTCAGAGTGTTGCTGAGTGATGGTTCTGATCCATTTGGGGTGGGTGGGTGGGTGGGTGGCCAATTCTGTAACACAAAGGGACCTTATTTTAATCAATTGAAGCATGTCCGACTTTGGCAACAGTTGGATCAAAGGGCACCTTTGGAAATGGCAGGACACAAGGGCCAGCTAAGGGAAATTTCAGATCCCAGATCCTACCACACCAGGATCCTTTGCTTGAGAAATTCTAGCAACTTGTGCAAGGAAAGTTGGGGGAGTATCAGCCAATCAAATGAAAACACATGAAGCTCGCTGTCAACAATGAGTGCTTGGTAGTACTGGCATCATGGGACACACGAATGGATGTTTTATCCTGGCCCACTGCTTGGTGCTTTCTATGTTGGGGTGTGTGTGGCTGCTCCTCTCTAAGGGGGGAAAGGTCACAGGTATCAGCTGGGATCCCCTCCAACAAATGGCTACCAGGGAATTCGATTTCCAGGTCAAAAAGTGTCCCTTGCCCCAGAGATACTGAAACCACGGCAAAACCTCACATCACCACGATTATAAATCAAAAAATACGCAAAATAAAATAAATCTCTCAATATAGATATATATATATATATCTAGTACAAACCGAGTCGAGTGTAAAACGAGCTCTCTAAGCAGAATTTAGCCACGTGCTCCTTTGCCCCCCCCAACCCCCCAGCCCCACCCCACTCACCCCATAGCGGGCGCCGCTAGCCATCGGGCTCGAGCGCCTTCGATGGAGCCCGCCATGGAGCTCCGTCAGCTGCTGGCGGAGGCGAAGCCCGCATGGACGGCCGCGGATCTGAACGCCGCGCCACGGACCCATGGGCCGAGGCTAGAGGTTATACCCTCTGGTTGACATTTGGGAATTATTTGGAACGTATTCCTCGTTCAAATCGTAGCCGTGGCAGTTTTCGAGGATTCCGATCTTTCATTCTTTGGCTGGGGGGGGAGGGGATTTTTTCAGGGGCGCGCTGCAGTTATTGGACATATTCGGAGGTTTTGTAAATTATTTCCTGCCAAAAAGGGTGTTTGCTTTTGAGGGGTTGCCAAAATGCTTTGTGGAGGTGGGAAGCCTCTTTAAGGAAAAATTTAACGGGTAGATTTTGAGGTTGCTACTTCCATGCAGCCAGTCTTTTATGAATCTGTTGAATTCAGTGGCGGATAAGCCCCCTGCTAAAGTCTGGTAACTGGGGTAAACAGAGTAACCCCTTCGTAGTTGTTTGCCATTGAGCCAGCTCCCCAGCCTTGGGGGCGGGACAGTCTTTGCAACAGGCCGAAGCGAGAAACTGTTCCGCTTGACCTCCAACAACGTTCAAGGGGGTTCGTGCAGCGAAACAGTTGCACGGTTCCTGCTTGAAACTGAGCTGGACGAGCGTCCTTGGACGTATCCTGGGACACGTCCTGGAGCTGTCGACGTGCAACAGGGCACGCGGAAAAGATTTCAAAGTTTTTGGAATCTTGTGCATAGGAAGACACGGGGGAGACACAACATGGGACAAGTCCTGGGGTCCGTTTGCGATGATCAGACTTTGTTTTTTTTATTCTGCGCTACTCAGTTTTGTGGGCTGGTTCTGGCATGGGTCCTGGGATAGGTCCTGGCACGTCAAGGGCTGGATTTGGTCAGTTCTGTACACAATGTTAAAACCTGACGCGCATTTTCCCATCCAAGGTGGAGAGGAAGTTGGGGAAGCTGGGCATCCATGGCACGGGGGATTTGGCCCACAGCATGGACAGGCGGGGTCAAATCTGGGTTTCAAGCGCCCAGTTTCTACTTGCATCTGGCGAGAACATGAGAGCCAAGTCCGCCCATGTCTTGGCAACATGTCTCGCGTACTGTGAGCCCAAGGGCCCCAAGTCTCTAAGCCATGGATGCTTGAAGCCCTCAACCGCATGAGTGGCTTGCTAAGCAAAACCACCTTTGGCACATTTTGGGGCCCTGCATGGTGTCATTTTCTCGCACTTTTATAGAGACGCCCACAGACGGTCCCACATTTTGTCAACCATATCTGTGAGTTAGAAGCTCGTGCCTTTTGATTCTTGGCTCGAGCAATGTCGAGCAAGGCAAACTTCTGTCAACTTCTGCAAACTTCTGCGAACTTCTGCAAACTTCTGCGATCTTCGAACTTTTGCGAACAGTGATGCTATTTTGTGTTCACAGGGCGTTTGGCGTTTCGCTTTTTGCCTTACGCACCATCTCAGACCCCTTTGATGCACTTGTAAGAGATGTACACCAAGGTGACTTAGACAAATCATAACCATCTGGTGCCAGGCTGAATGACCTGCTGCAGGCTGCGGGGTATTTGAAGTTCAGCACTGACACGCTGGACGCGCTGCGCGCCAAACTGCCCCAAAACCGTCGACGCGGGCCAGCGCCTACAGGGCCTACTGGGCCCAAGGGCGGCGGCAAGGGGCGCATAGGCTTTGGAGGCTGGCAATCGCCAAGATCCTTGCCCTGGGTTGCAAAAGGGTTATGTTCGCCTTAAGGCGGTGATTTCGCAGTAGGATTATGGGTGGGTCACTTGTTGGCATTTTGAAATGTTGGACACGTCCAGGGCCCAGCCCTCACAGCGTCTTTCTGCACCACCCGCAGAGCGGCACGACTAGCGCGCCCGACGAGTGGAGGGGTTGGACAGTGGTTGGCAGCCCCTCGCCGGCGCCGGTGCAAGCAAGGCCCTGTGTCATGGAAGCATACCTGGCAGAACTGCTGGAGCAGGATGAAGAAGAGGAGGACGACGAGGAGGAGGATCCCGAAGCCCGGCAAAGAAGCTGTCCAAAACACACTAGCCCAAGCAGCACAAACAAACAGGATCACCAACTGATCATGCGGCGGAGATGGCACATACAGTTCTCTGCCTCGCACAGGTCGTCACCGTCAAACCCCTTGCCCCTAATCACGGAGCTTCAATGAGCCAATCCAAAGCCAATACTATGAAAGCAAACAAGATTCCAGCAAGTTTCGTTTGTTTCACATTCAACATTCTACTTACTTGTTTAAACATCCGAGCAAAAAAGAGTACACTGCAATAGCAAACCAACACTAACTTCCTCACACACCCCAAACTGTGATAAAGCATCGCTTTTGCCAGCCGAATTCTTATTATCAGCGGGGCTGGAATCGTCAGGGGCACTTCATTTTGTTTGTCAGGAGTTTGAGGGTTTGTGACAGTCCTGTTTTCCGGAGCTCGGCCGCACTCACTCAGGACACCTGCCTCTCGGAAGAAGACATGACAAAGCTGTGCATGGCCAAAAAGGTTCCACTGCTTCAGCTGGAGAAAGGTCGCGCAATGACTGTGATTCGAACGCTGGACCGCTTAGAGAAGTGTGCGCTGTCTGCTCTCCGCAATGAATACAAAAGGCGCGGCTTTGCACCTGGAGCAGAGATGAGGAGAGATAGCCAGCTGCCAGCAGTTGGGCGGAACTTTTGCTGCGGGTGGCATGAAAAACCTGACTTTTCATGCAAGTTGCTTGATGCCACCAACTCCTGCGACCAATGTGTGTTGCATGCTTGCGTGTAGCAGGAACCACTAGTAGTTGTGCTGTCGTCTGTGAGGTTGCAAAACTGACCCCGGTATGTAGACATGTCATTGGGGCAAGGCAGCGCGGTCGGCTGCCGTACATGTTGGACATGCGCAAGTTTCGCAATCTGGATTTCCACTTGATGGCAGCCAAGGCTTACTTTCTCGCGTGAAGGAAGTTGTCATTTGGGAGAACCTCAAGCTTGACGATTTGCGAGAGGTGTGTGGCATGGCATTCGAATAAGCGCGTGGCGACATGACAATTGAACCCGAATTAAAGCATGCGTCAGATTCATTGGGGTGTGTTTACCCAAAATAGTCAAGAACCCTCTAAAATGCCTTCTCCTGTTGATCAACCAGGGATCAAGTGAAGAATTTACACGGGAGCAGGAATTCTGTTGTTTTTGTCCAAACAGGGGTGCTTGGTGACTGATGGCAGGGGGTGCACGAATAAGACTGGAAGAGAGGTCTCAAATTCAATATTTGAAGGCCTGGATTGTTTTGGCTAAAAAAGCTTGTGTTTTTTGTTGGGGGCACCTTAATTCGGAGGGGGCAGGGATTAATCCGGGGTGCTCCATGGCTCGTAGTTATTAGTTGGTTTCCCTATGGAAAGCCAACTAGAGATAGTTGCACCCAAGAATGTCAGTATGATTTGGAAGGGGTTGGTACCGAATATTAATAAGCTGCCCTGTATTGCAGCATGGTTCGTTTAGAGACAAACCCATTTGCAGAATAAATTAGTTTGCAGGCTACCAAACCTGGGGGGTGGCGAAGGTGACAAAATTGGCAAAATAGGGGGTGGTCCACAGGTGCATGTTGGAACATGTTTTGGGACGCATGCTTTGCCGCCTGTATGAATGTGCACTTTCAGCATTTCTGATCTGCAGGCAAGCCGCCACAGCCGATGAACCCTGCGAAGCTGGTGAAAAGGGGCAGGGTTCTACCTGTCTCAAGTCCAGAATGCTGGTCACATTCAGATCTAACGTCACCTAGAAATGATTCGCTTGGGACCTCCAAACCGCAGGCATGGCACAACAGCCAGGCTGATGTCACTCATGTCGGGACATCAGGAATAGGATGCCAGAACTCCAAATTTGAACATTCTAAATTTTAACTAGGTCCCCCAGTATTTTCCTTTTACCATTTTTTGGGGGAGGGTTCCCCTAGCAAAATAGACTACACAAAAAAAGGGTACCCTTATTCTAACCTCTCTACTGGAGGACCTAGTTAAACATTTGAGACGCCCGCCCCCTTGAACTCCAAGGCAAAGGTCGCCAGTTGCCCGCAGAGCCTGGTATGTCACGAGCCTCTCTCATCCAGCTCCTGGCAGATGAGAGCCTCACTTGCCCAAAGAAGATCTTCTATTTTGTTTGTTTCCCGTGTAAGTCAGTTGGCTGTCCAGTTCTGGTCTACTTTCAGTCTGAGATGGTCTGAGGATTCGAAAGGTTTTACTCTGTTCTTCCCAGGTTGCAACCAAGTGAGGAGCTGGCTACAGGCTGGCATCCCCGTGCATCTACTGCCAAGCATCGTGGTGGCGCACGGTGTGTTGGTGCTTTGGCTGGGCTGGCCTAAACATGCTTGGATTCTTCAGGCAGAATATGTAAGATGTTGGAGGTGTTGAGTTTTCTGCCAACAACCACGAATTTCAAATTGCTATGTCTGACCAAGGGATATTTGTTTATCCTTCTCCTGTTTCTGTGGCACTTAACTTACGCCCCGAGCTGCAGCAGACACGATCCTTGATAAGTCACAACGTATATGAGCCACTCGCGAGAAGGTACACTGCTTGCATGTTCAAATCGCTTCTCTTTGCACATTTTCCTCGTGGCTTTCTTCGGAGGAAACCAGGGCTTCGTTGTTCAAAAATAAGTAATAATAATAAACACGAGGACCAGACAATCTTGGAAGAAGCCCCCAAAGAGCCACCGAGCGTTGCGCCCTTGCTTGGCCAAGTTTGGTATTGTTTTTGTCTTGGTCCGGCCGGTTGAGTCTCAGGAACCGAACATGTTGAGGACCGATTGAATCCCCAACGTTAAGTCGTCAAAGTTTGGAAGTTGTAGGACGCTGCTCCATCGCATGCGTGAAACAATCGCCCGAGGACTCAGTGGCCACACTCCACAGCAAGTCACTGACAGATCTGGTGGCTCAGTGTCGACGTTTGGGGGTGCCCTTGGAGAAAAAGCCGGAGAAGGAGACGGCACGGATGGTGATTCCTGAGAGCTTTCTGGGATCAACATGGATCAAAGCAGAGTCCTCAGGAACGTTTTGAACAGGGCCTGTTGGATTTATGGGAACCCGTGGTTAACCCTGCCCGGTTGATTTTGATTTGCATTTGGGGTCATGTTTGGAACGGATCCTTCACTTTTAGGGGAAACTCCTTGTTGGCAGCTTGGAGGCCGCAG